GGCACCAATTTCCAGGGCAACGCTTGAGTTTGTATAACTAGCTGACGACGGCTAGTAAGCCAGAAATGACCATCCCAGTCTCCCTTATCTTTGGCATTAATGTCTTTCTGCCTTAATTCAATCATCTTCTCATATTTATATTGTTTCAAATTTTAAACTATATTTACCCTTTGTGTTCACATTTTGTATACATTGATGAAAAGATCTCTTCTGGTTTGAAAATTCTAGCTCCTAAGTAATTTTGCATCCGAATTGCTGTTCTTCTTATTTTTAAGATTTATGAACTACAAACTGTCCATTTTGAGAAAAAACTGATATGGTGATATAACATCTTGTTAGATGGACCACGCTGCATACTTCATGATGACTATACATAAAGCGATAGATCCGATGCAGCTCGAGCTGACAACTCACGGTCTTAGAAACACCGTAATTACGAACATTCACAAACTGGAAGTTGTCATTTCTTCAGATAAAATATTAGAAGACGTAAGTAACTATAAAATGAGAACATGAAACAATACTTTCGCGAAAATTTCTACAAATGCTGTTCCGATTCACATGACAGCAAAGACCGATGGGAGGAAGTATAGTGACTAAGCAGCCAATTATACTGACCATTATTATTTCAGACATATACGAAGGCACGTATTCTAAAGCCGACATCCTAGTGGAGTTATGCTACGTCAGAATTATCATTGCAGCACAGTCTAAGTAATACTATGTATCCAAAATCATACGTTACAATTACAGTTATTGTACTGTGAGATACGACGCCTATCACTGTGAACTCGACTACTTGCAAACGCGATTATTTCTATAGATAGAAACCCTGTGCATTTTGTTAGTGAATATATATTATAATGGCAGAAAGAAATTCGTAAGCTCGCTAGCCCCTCACCATGGTTGGAACACTTTTCTGAGTGCGAACAATCATCTTAGTCCGCCTATGGAGACCGGGCAGTACGATATACGATACAAGCTCTCATTTGACCTAGGAAACCGAGCCTCACATAACACCTTAATTTGGCGCGACGGCCAAGCCTTCGTGAAGAACCAAAAGCCTATAACTGAAGGAACGACTACCGTTAGTACGTTGCATGAGACATTTGTTGGCGAGGACCGTACGTCGTGGTTGACACCATCCTGCTTGAGACGATCGAAAGGATCCCAACCTCCATCCGAGAAAAGAGTACATATTCGCCTATTCAGAGAACGTTAACACATCCTAATTGTCAAGACTACCTATTGGCCAGGTCTACAGCTCCTAAAATCAGTAACAATCCCAAAAAATGAACCCATCGACACAACAAATTGAACGAGTTAAATTTTTGTCAAGTGGCATACGTGCCTATAGGCTAAAGTCATTTGATACTGGACATATACTTACAACACCCATGGATAATATTAAATCTCCACGATACACCTATTCGCAAAAAATGTTAAGGCACAAGCCCCGTCCTGTCCTTTACCGTCAATTCAAAGTGTGCAGTTTTTAGAACCTTGAAGAGTCCCGGCAACACTCATAAAAATGTGATGCACTATGAGCTAATACAGCCTTTTAGTAAAAGGCTTTGATTAATATAAACTCCCAACGCTAAAAAAACGGCGTTCCGAGTACTACTCGAATTCGTATAAATTACCGATATCTACACCTTGGGTTCCATGCATAAAGTACGTAATAAACAACATGAAAATTAAGAAATACAGCTCTCATCTTAAGCCAAATAGTGGAAGCGGCGCAGGCTCCTGTCATCTACCCAGACAAAGCTTTCTAAATATAGTATTTTAGATGGTGCAAACTAAGGTGGCACAAGGAGTCATCGAGTTTTGTGAAAGTTAATATATTTTAATAATCAGTTTTAAAAGTTCAACCGAAACTGCAGAATTGTGCACTGAAGCATAAAAACGTAAGCCCCACGCAAAAACAGAAAACTCCTGCCATATTGCAGTGAGTACAGACGATGCGCTCATGAGCGCATGTGTGAGTTTGGATAATAGTTCCAGCAAAGCTGACATCGCAGAATAAAATTTCAATATTAAAAACACCGGGAAAAAGCTGTGCAAAGTGTGCAGAGCAATGGGTAGAAGGAGTTAGATGGCGCATGTGAAATGGTTAGTAAAAGTGTATATAACAGGAAAACATCGGTGTTCGAAAGCTAAAAAGAAAGCAAACCGAACAAAGGCAGTCACTTAGATTTAACCTTCCTCCTCTTCTTCAAATTCACCCTCTTCTTCTGCCGTTGCATCTTGGTACTGTTGATATTCGCTTACCAGATCATTCATGTTCGACTCAGCTTCAGTGAATTCCATCTCATCCATGCCCTCACCCGTGTACCAATGCAAGAAAGCTTTCCTTCTGAACATGGCAGTAAATTGTTCGCTCACACGTTTGAAGAGCTCCTGAATAGCTGTACTGTTGCCGACAAAAGTGACAGACATCTTAAGACCCCGTGGGGGAATGTCGCAAACAGCCGTCTTAACGTTATTCGGAATCCATTCCACAAAGTAGCTCGAATTCTTGTTCTGCACGTTAAGCATCTGTTCATCGACCTCCTTCATTGACATGCGACCACGGAAGAGGGCTGCCACTGTTAAATACCGGCCGTGTCGTGGATCGCACGCGGCCATCATATTCTTGGCGTCAAACATTTGTTGGGTCAGCTCAGGAACGGTTAATGCGCGGTACTGCTGACTACCACGGCTAGTTAGTGGCGCGAAACCCGGCATAAAGAAGTGGAGACGCGGGAAGGGTACCATGTTCACAGCCAACTTGCGAAGGTCAGCGTTTAGTTGACCAGGGAAACGTAGACAAGTCGTTACGCCAGACATAGTCGCACTAACAAGATGATTGAGGTCTCCGTAGGTCGGAGTGGTAAGCTTAAGTGTTCTGAAGCAGATATCGTACAAAGCTTCATTGTCTATGCAGTAAGTTTCGTCGGTA